GAGTAGTCTATTGATGTCCCTGTAATTGTTTTACAGCTTTTAAAATATTTTAGCATATAGTAAAAAATAGTCCAAGTCCTCTGTATTCATAGCAAAAGGAGCAGTACCTTGCTGTTATCACTTCTAACACTATTGACATTCTTAAATTTTAACTGGTTTTTCTGTTTTTGGTGCTGAATTAATTAGTGCTGTTTATGTATAAAGGTGTTTGGTTTTTTTTTTTTTTGTTTGGTTTTTTTTTTTTTTTTTTCATTTTGGTGCAAGAAAGGGCTAGCACTGAGATTCAAACCTTGATTTTGCTTTAGGTTATATGTATTAATGTTTGGGATTTTTAACATTTTGTTGATGCTCCTTGTTCATTGGTCTTCCATTAATATATTCTGGATAATACTAAATATATTTCGCAGTAGATGTGAAGTATTTGTAAGAGCAAAACAGTCTTGAAATACGTATGTGGAAAAATCTGTGTTAATGGATTTCTTCCTTTCTTCTGGACTGCTTTTTAACATAAAGAATGTGGCACACAGTGTTACCTTCCATACATAGTGAAAAGGGATAAATTGAGTCTGTCACTCGTGTTTTAGCAGTGCCTAGGAGAGGGACTGAGTTATTTCCAGTTGTAAGGAATTATCCCAATCGTGAAGTTGAAATTCCGGCCTTCAGAGTTTGCCATTCAAAATGTTTTCAGTCTTTGGCATGCCTCTTAGTACTGTCAAGAAAGGGGAATGCTAATACCAGTAGTTATGTCAAGCGTGTGCTTCTTGTGGATGAAAAGGATGGGGACCAAGACCTGATTTTTAGCATTTACTTTCCATTGAATGTAAATGGATTTGTTTCTGTTGTTGTTACTTCTGTTGCAGATTAGGCGTAGACATTTCTTTCCCACTTGGAGGTTGGAAGTTGCACTCTGTTGAAAAGGACTGACTTGTGCAGAGGGAGTAGGACTTGGTACAGTGGGGAACATGAAGATAGGAGCCTATGTTCTCTAACAGAGTCTTGTCTTCTCCACCATCTAGAAGTTCCATTGAAAGGAAGCCTTGAAGGTTGCAAGACAAGTCCAAGATGTGCAGTTCAGTTGCTCCCAGGCTGTGGTTCTTAACAGACCGTCGCATCAGAGAAGATTACCCTCAGCAGGAGATACTGAGAGCACTGAAGGCCAAGTGCTGTGAAGAAGATTTAGATTTCCGGGCCTTGGTGATGGATGAAGTGGTGCTGACCATTGAAGATGGAAATCTTGGTGAGAATGAGCTAAGGCTGGGAATGTGCTGAAAGGGTACTTGGAAAAAGATTATAAAATGGAGCATCTGTACTGTTTAATAATGAATTCCATGTGTGCCAGAGTACCATACATCATCTAAATGAGGTAGATGTATATGATGTCACATTCTTTAGCATTTATTGTTATAATCAAATATAATTAACTTTGCTAATTCACATTAGAACTATTTTTGCCTTCCCTCTTTAGAACAGAGAGGAGGGTTGCTTTAGTATGTTGATTCCAGGCTAAGGACTATAGGACCTCTGAATTAACAAGAAATTATGGAATTTCATTTTTGCATAGGTGCTTGAAGTTCATGGGTCACATTTAAGAGTTTCAGGGGGACTTTTTCTGTTTGTGTTTTGACTCCCAAGATAGCAAACACATTTGAAATACACTAAAAGGGATTTTCAATGGATGGTACAAATTGTCGTGGAGCTAGAGGTAATAATGTGATATAACTAAAGCATGCTTCTGTATGGATGTGTAGTTACATATATGCCAAAGAACGGGGCTGAAAAACAAAGTACGTGCATCAGAAAAATTTGAACTATTACTAGAACTTACAGTGTTTTAAACTAAATTGTAAGATTTCTGTTCCTTTTTCCAGTTGGGCTTTTTATTTTTCTGTGGCGATTAAAAAAAGAAAAGCAAGACATTAAGGTGTGTTAGAAATGTTAAGTAAAATGATTCTGTAGATAGTAAGCTTATATTATAGGAAGAATATTAATACTACCAATGTCAAGCTGTGTAACAATTTTTCCTTTCAACTTTTTAACTTGGATTTCCTAAAGGTAAGAGACTGCAGTGTTGTTTTGTACCTTTACCTCTTCCATTTCTCTTCCCCATAAAATCATAGAATCATTTAGGTTGGAAAAGACGTTTAAGACCATGAAGTCCAACCGTTAATCTATCCCTGCCATCTCACCACTAAACCATGTCCCTAAGCACCTCATCTACCCGTCTTTTAAATGCCTCCAGGGATGGGGACTTGACCACTTCCCTGAGCAGCCCGTACCAATGCTTGACAACCCTTTCTGTGAAGAAATTTTTCCTAATGTCCAACCTAAACCTGCCCTAGTGCAACTGCCCTAGCGCACCCGTTACCAGGGAGAAGGGACTGACCCCCACCTTGCTTCAGCCTCCTTTCAGGTAGTTGTATATTAGTCAAAATAATGTCACTGGAGATCCAGGGAAGAATTAAATTTCTGAAAGTTGTATTAGAATAGTTCTGTGTGGGAAGAAAATACAGAAGTACCCTCAGCCCTGAAGAAGAGGGCTGCCATGTGATCTTATGCCTTGTTTTTGGGGAATCTATATAGGAAGGAAATCTTAAAACTGACTCTGGGGAAGAACTTTGGTCAGAATTTGTACCTTACTTGTAACGTGAATCAGTCAAGCATAAAACACGTGCATGGGGCAACAGGATTTTTGATTCTGTTATTACTAAACTTTTATTTCTGTATTTTTGTCTTTTATTCTGAGATGTCTTTTATTTTTATCAGAGACTTGAAATTCTGTAGGGTGTCTTCAAATAAAGGCAACTTCTTGTCAGAAAGTCTGAACATCTTACTGCTCTGAGCATGCTGTCCTTTGGACAGCGTGTTCTGCAAAGGCAGCCATCCTGGACTGTAGCTGTAGCCTCTAAGACGCATAATTGGTCCTTCAGCATTTCAATATTATTTTTATTTCTTGTTGATCTTTTCTTCTTTCCTGTCTTCTGCCTGTTTTGGGGGAATTAAATATGGCAATCATGAACAGTGGGCCTTTCTTCTTCCATTTAATGCCTCCTAATGCTGCATCTATTGCAAGAAGAAAAGATAAAAGTATGCGAGTTGGAAAGCTAATACTGAAGAATGAGAAAAATTAAGGAAATTATTAGGAAGAGAATGCAAAAAAGGATTTTATTTTCCAACAAAGTCTTCATTCAAAACTATGTAAATAACTGACCTTTTGAAAACAAGTGACATAGAGATAAAAATGGTGAAAGTGTGCAGATAGAAATTTCCTTATACATAATCTGGACTGGCTAATTGTGTTTTTTTGCGGGGTGTGTGTGTGAGTTGCCTTATATCAAACAACTCTTTCTGTTGGAGAGGGATGAAAAATCTTCACTCTTAATTTTTCAGTTTTCTTTTTCCTAGTGCTTGCCCATATTTTTTGCTACAGATTTCTGGTGGAGGACAGAAACAAAAACTTTGTGTTTCATTTTCTTTGTTAAGTGCTCAGTTGGCCTAGGAAAAGGTGCCCTGGAACAAAATCCAGGAGGTAATGCATTCTGTTATCTACTGTTTTGTGGGAGGGGTCCAGGTTGAGTAAAATTTTGGACAACATAGAGGAGTTGATGAAGGGGATGTATCTTCAGTGGATAATAACCTGCTTTTGCTTCCAGTTCTACTGTTACTTTTGTTGAAAGCTTAGCAAAACAGGGCTCAAACTCTGACGGTAATACATAGTATTAGAGGAAGTAATAGTTAGGTTTTCATATACTCATACTTGTGATTAGAGGTTTTTTTTGTCTTTTAAAACCTAGACAATTTCTTAAGTAAATTGTTAAAAGAATGTTAACTTTACAAAGTCAAGTTTCAAAGTACAGGATGCTATTTAAAACTTCAAAAATGTGGTATTTCTGTAGATGATATAATCAGTGATACTTTGTGGACTTGCTGGTTGTCAGGAAAATGGCTGAAGACTTCAGAGACCAAAAATTCAGTATAGGACATGAAAAAGCTTGAAATTATTTACCTCACAGAGGTAGAGCGGAAAAGACAATTCTAAACTTAGAAAAATTGAGCAGAACAGTGGGGTATTTACCAAAATTGAAAACTGGTCCTTCCACCAATTATGTGGAACAGTAATTGACAGTAGAGCACACTGATGTAAGTATCACTGAAGCCCAGAGCCAAAGACAGATGTGGAAAGCTGAGACTCTTACAAAATCTGTGTATGTCAGAGAATGATAAGACTTGCCATGTATCTGATGTCGCCAAAGGGAGAGGGAGGCGTAGACTTGTTTTGGTCAGTGGACACAGAAGAGTGACTGGATTCCCAGGCAAGCCAACAGTGTAGCTCCAGCAGTCCCTGCTGGTTTCTTTTCTTCTGCAGCTGAAACTTGGGATGACCCAGCATCCCAAGCACCCCTCACAGCCCCAGTACTACTGGCCACGTGATGAACCTGCATGCAGCTGAAAATCCATGTTTGGTGCCTCAACACAGCATGAGTCCCAAAATTATTGTAAATGCAAGTTAAGAGTTGTAGAATTGAAGTTTTCCCTTTAAGTTTAGAAGGAAACTCTTAAACTGATTTATGCTTAAACTGTTTTGGAAATAGTTTAAGCTCAACAAATAGTTTTTGAAAATAACTATGGTTTATGCCTTATTTAAGTAAATGCCTGCTTACCCGAGCCATGCATTACTGTTTCATTTGCACACTGGCAGTAGTACTCTGTAGATCTCCAAGGCAAAAGCTGAGTTAAAGTAATGGAAAAGTCCATCTGCATAAAACAATATTTTTCTGCTTCTTTGGTGGGCTGAACCTGCCGAAATGGTTACTGAGTCAGACGCGTACAACGTAGGTGCACAGGAATGGACAGGAATACATGTATGGAAAAAAGCGGAGGGTGACACTGCAGACGTTCTGATTTGAACTGTCTCATTCTATGGTGTGGCTGTAGCCTAAGTTTCTTAAGAACTAAATTCCTGAAGCTAAAACAGTCAAGTATGATTTACTGCAGAATGGAGCAGCTGTGTTCCTCTTGTCCCTTTCCAGCCTTGCTGTTGCTGTTTGCCTTGTATAAGGATTTCATGTCTCTCTTGGCTTGCTTTCATGTTGTAGCTAAACTAATCTAATTCAAAAAAAGGTTGACCAAATTCTCTGCTTGTTTGCAGGATCTGGCATTTGTGTGAGTTGAGTTGGCTAATCCAATGCAACACTAACTCCGCCCAAATAATTAACAGTTTTCTGTTGGAATAGCTTGCTGCATCAACCCATTTTGTGGTCACACAATTGCTAGCTCTAGTACTTGAGGGCAGGGGAGAATGGGGTTGCTCTTTTGGGGAATGGCTTGTATTTATGTAGCTTCAATGCATACTTGAAAACAGAAGGATTTTCTTATGGTTGGGATGCTTGATAGTGTCAGCTTTAGGATTTTTTGCGTGTGTGTGTGTTTCTTTGAAGTGTCTGGTATTTACTGCTCTAAGGAAAGCACTGGATTACGAAATTAAATGGCTAGTTGCCTAATCTAGTTTGGTAATTCCTATATTCATTTGAAATATATAGCAGGTACTTTAACAAAACTCTGCATGATGTTTTCAGACACACATATGAAGTCTTAACAGTGTGTCCTGTTAAAACATGTAATTTTAAACTATTTGTCTGGGTTTGTTAGCGCAGTGATACAACAGGCATGGGGAATTTGAAACTAGGCAAATTAAAGCTTGCAAGCAGGAGTGTGGGGTGGGATGGGGGTGGAGGTGGAGGAAGCCTGTAGGGAATAAGCATGCTGAGACATAGTGGACAAGAGACAAGAGAGAAAATTCATTGGTTGTCTTCTCTTTCTGAATAGTAGAGCACTGTTTTCTTCTCACCCATGTCTAGGATGTAGCTGTAATCTTCCCCACAGACTACACACCTTACCTTTAGGGAAACACAGTTCAAGAACTGTTCATTTGTGAAGAATGGGCTAGGGAAATTTGGATCTTTCCCTCATTAAAATTATATACAAGAACAACTTTATTAAAATTCTTTGCTACCAGAATAGCAGAAGTTGGAGATCACTGAGCCAGCAGCTTACTAGTTCCTTTATTGTAGTTTTCGGAATCTCTGTATTTTCTGATACTGTCCCATGAAGGAAAATAGTTTTAAGGGAAGTTGCTTTAATGAACTTTCAACTATTAGAGATGCTGGAATGAGTGGAATTGGAGTGTCCTAAAGCATAAAACAAAGTGTGAACTTCTTGTAAGGCTTTCTTGGCTTTTCC